TGATCTCTGTTATTTTTATCAATTCTTACAAAGGCAAGAGTTAGGGATTTTTATTCTCATTTTTCAGAAGGCTTTCAGAGGAGCCAGTAATACAGTCTGCAAGTGTTAGAACTGAAATTCTGAACCAGGCTCAGCCAACTCTCAAGTCCGTATGTTCCATACTGTGCTGTTCTCTAAGGCAGTCCTAGACACATGGAGCAGTCAGTGGACAGACTGGCATTAATGCACTAGATAAGGGGTCAAAATAGGTGGCACAAGACTAGGACAATGTATGAAAAGAGACAGTTGTAAAAAAGAAATAAAAAGATAAACTTTGCAGAGAAGTCTGTTTTTGAGATATTGTTTGAAGGATGTTTAGACATGGACAAAAGGGTAGACAGCATTCAATCCATAACTGAAGGAACTAACAGGTCTAGCCCTGTGATTTGTCCTGGAAGCTAATGATAGTAGCTAACATCTACCATGTGAGAGACATTGTCTAAATGCATTCACTCTTCTTTCTTAAAGCAACTTTATCCAGCATGCACTAATGTTGTTATTCATAACTTACTACAGTATAGAGAAATTAATTGAATTGCTTATGACCAAGTGAGAATTTTAAACAGGATTTGGACCCAGGCAGTCTGACTCCAGAGTCTACACTCTTAACCACTATGCTAGAAGTGAGGCCAGATGCCAGGAGCCCTGAAACTTAGAGAGAGGACATTAGACAGATGCGGCAAGCAACAAAGAACCATTGTGCTGGGTAAAGTAGAATTTAAGATCAATCTGGTAGAATTTTACAGGGGGGAAGAGACAGAGGGTGCAGGGCTTAAGTCAACTAGAAAACCCTTGCCTGTACAGGCTGAGGTGATGAGGTCCTTGTTGTGGGGGGAGCTGGCAGTGAGTATGGAGAAGGAGCACACTGGAGCAACCTTGTGTGGGAAGAAACTCAGTTTTGTGGTGAATATGCAGGTGAAGGAGGAAGGAGTCAAAGATGTTTTCACTCTTCATGATGAAGAATCTAGGTGAGATAGTGATACTGGGGGTGAGACTAGAGCTCTCAGGAATAGCTGAAACACCAAAGGTGCTTTTTCCAATGTAGAAAGTAAAGTTAAACCTTAGAAGCCACACCCAGTTTGGAAGCCAGAGAAGGAAAAACCAGTGACTTAAGTCAGATTATGAGGAGTTTGGGGGGTAGATGGAAAACTGGATAGTGCAGGCTTAATAAAGCTCACAGAGAAAGAGCAGTTTCAAGAAGAGTCATCAATATTGTCAGCTGCGACTTGGAGGTCGTAAGAGAACACAATTTAAAGATCTAAAGTTGATTTTATTTGATTTGATGAAAAGAAAGTCATTTGGTTGATGTAAGATTATAGCTTTAGTTGGGAGGTGGGGATGGAATAGTAGTATCGGACGAGGGCCACTTCCAGTCAGGAGTCATTAATTAATAGGCAAGAAATTTGGCTTATAGCCAGCAACATTGTGTTTGGATCCCCCCCTAGTAGTCACCCATTAATTTTGTGACTTATCCAAAATAAGCCTGCCTCAAAACAAGAATAATGATGCCTCTAATATAGCTTCATTGTGGGAGTTAGAGAAAATGTGTATAAAGCACCTAGCACAGAGCCTGGCACATAGTAGGTGCTCAGTAAGTATTTGTTGATCGGGTGGCAAGTGGTGCTGGAGATTAAGAAAACAGATCTTCATGCCCTTTTCCCTACTTTGGAAAGTCAGGAGAGAGGCAAGGTCCAGCAGAGTGGGAAGGGAGATGCCACAGTGACTTAGAGAGCCAAGGTTTTTATCAGTGCTAGTTAACAAATATTGTACTATACTTTTCTCCTTCTTTAGGGATATTAGCATTTAAGCAGAGTAGCAAAAGAGTAATGCATGATGGCTAGATATGGTTTCCAGACTGAGTTACAGAATTCAGAGAAAAAAGGTTTAGGGGTGGGTGCTAACGAGTTTGCTCTTAGATCTGTTGATTCTGAGGTGTCCGTAGGACATGGAGGTTGAGATATTCAGCAGGCAGTTGGATACGAGTTTAAAGTTCTGGACAATGGCCTGAGATTGTGATATTATATTTGTTAAACCATTATTATAGCTTTAAATCTGGATCTCTTACATTAATATATGCTCTTTAGATCTTAAACTAAACTGTCAATATAAATCATTTTATATCTGATGACCACAAAATGATAAAAGAAGCTCACTTTATTTTCTCTGGTACAGAATGCCACAAAACGACTCCACTCCTCACCTTCATGATCTGTGCACCACTGTCCCAGCCCGGGAGTTGCCCATAGACTTGCGCCTGGCTTCTCGAGTGTATCACACTGCCGATAAGAAAGGCCACGATACCCTCCTTGGAGTATTTGGAACACCTTTCTTAAATGATCACTTTACAGATGAAGAACAAAAAGATAGGTAAGAGTTCCACTGGTAATTTTGTTTTAAACTAAACTTAAACTGTCATAAACATTCTGCCTTTTGATATTTAGATTTTAAATATTTGATTCTTTTCTTGGATGCTAGAGAGGAGCAGTTTTTGTTCTTTTCCATTGCTTCCCCAGTATGTACAGAGTCTAGGTTCATGTCTCGGCTTCCTGACAGTACTAACAAGAACCATCCCCTACCATAAGGTAACTTTAGTTTAGTAGCCTAGTTCCCAAAGAGTGTTACATACTTGTACATTATTTCACTTGTTCTTCATCACAACTCTGGAGTACACGTGTGGAAATTGAGGCTCATAAAAGTTAAGCAATTTAGTTGCATTTATACAATTAAAAAAAAATCACAGATTTGGCGCTGGAACCCATTGTCTTAAACTAGATTTCACCATCATTGGGTATACTTGGGTCCACGGATCATGTACAAAAGTCATTGCCTCTTGGAGTTCATTACACTTCTCCTTGGGTCTTACTTTCCTTGGGAATTTGCATATTCTTTTGTGGAGAATATATAATTTACAGCATCCTCAAAAGAGAAGAGAAAAGGAAGGGACCTAATGTTTGTTTAGCAGTAACTGTATTCT